CCACCCTTGGGCGACCAGAGGTCGTAGTGCGACGAGCCCCCGAAGCGAGTGGCCAGTGGCCGGCCGGTGCTGCGCCGCGCGTGGTACTTGGCGTTCGCCTGCAGCGCGGCGTCGTCGAGGCCCTCGTTGCGGTCCATCTTGGAGAGGTCTGGCACGCCGTCCGCGATCTTGCTGAGGTCCTTTAGCGCGTCGCCGGAGATGCACAGGGCGTGCCGCCAGAAGGTGCCATCCGTCGGGCGCCGCCCCGGCTTGCCGCGCACGATGGCCTTGGCGGCGTTGGCGCCGACGGATGCGCCGAGCGGCATCAGGTGGATGTTGAAGTCCTCCCCGAAGTAGATGGTCTGCCCGGAGGGGTAGTTGAAGCGTGGTGGGCAGAGGTCGAAGCGGACCACGATGTTCTGCGCCTTGCACTCCTTGACGCTGACGAGAGGCATGGCGAGTCCGGGCGCGTACAGCGCGTTCACCCACTCGGTGTTCACAACCTTGGTGTCCTGCGGCTTGGTCGGGTCAGCCAGCGCGAAGGCGTACGCGGTGCCGACGCCCTTCGCCTTGAGGTAGTCGTTGTTTGCGCAGCGGATGTAGATGGGCTTCTCGGGCTCGCGCCACCCGTGAGGGAAGTAGTCGGGCGTCGGGAACATGTTCATGCCCGCCTTGGAGTCGACGCCAGCGGCATACGATCCCGGCATGTTCACACCGGCGGTCGTGTCGTACGCGTCGACGACCTTGACATGCCCGACAAGCGCGTGTGCCTGCATCGCGTCCATGCGCGCCACGTACATGGCGAGCATGATGCACGTGTACGAGAGGACGAGCGGGACCGTCTTGGGCACGTCGATGTCATTCACCGCGCGGAACATGTCGCCCGCGACCTTGCGGTAGATCGGCTAGAGCGGGTCCTCCTCGATGGCGTACTCTGCTCCGCCACCTGAGCCAGTCGCCGGCCCGGTGGACAGCTCGAGGGGTAGTGCGGTGACGGACTCGACCATCACGCCCATGTTCGAGGGCTCGTCCACGGCGTCAGCCACAGGCGTGCCGATCGAGGCAGGCGAGCCCATGTAGACCGGGATGAGGCACGCGAGCAGGACGAGTAGGATGGAAGCGCCGATGTACGGGCGAGGCAGCGCGGTGACGAACGAGGTGAACTTGACCCACAGCCCGCCGCGCGCCCGTGCCTCCGCCGCATTGCGCGCCGCCGTCTTGGCCTTGAGGATGGCGGGCGTGTCGGTGGGGTTGGAGTCGGGGAAGGTGTCCTCGACCTGGTCGGTGCCGACGCCAGCGACAAAGCCGCCGACGATGCCGTCCGGGTCGAACGTGCGGGTGACAGAGTCGGCCAGCGCCGCCCGCACCTCCTCGTGGTCGCTCGCGGTGGAGTCCGACTTCTTGAAGGGGTCGTGCGGGAGGGTGCGGCCGGGGGACTTGGCGCACACCTT